CCACCCCCATTTCTCTGCTAAAACACATTTTTCATAAATAACTTACATAGCATTTGCAATTCTGTGGGAAATCAGTATTCATGGTTGTAGCACTCCCATCATTTTTGCAGTTTCTGTTTTCTAACTTCCAAATAAAGATAAGAGGAATATTTTGCTGAGATCCAGGCTGGTTATTTTTTCCTTCAAATATCCTTAGCTAAAGGATGACCTCAGATGTGATGAAAAGTGACCTCCACGTCCTTCACCAGCTGTTGAATCACTTTTGCAAAATGCCTCAAAATGTTTCTCAATTACCCTGTGACTGACTGACAAGTTGGAGCCCAGTGAAACCCTGGAGGATTCCCCATGTGTGTGTGTATGTGTACGTGAGAGAGAGACAAAGACAGAAACAGAGGCAGAGACAGAGAGAGGGGTAGTCCATCATTTTTATTTTGGGACATGCCTATCTTCTTCAAGTATTGTATGTGTACTTGTGGGTGTCAAAGAAATTATATTTAAATAACCGTTATTTAAAACCCCCATAACATAATACAGTGAGAAACATCCTGGATGTTACAAAGCAAAGTTGAGAATGGCTGCTGCCCTCCCCTTCCCAGCAATATCAACAATGGAAGAGAAATCCTGTGAAGTGAATAAGAATTCTCATCCATCAGACAACAGCACAAGGAGACAGAACATATGGGCCAGCTGGGAATAAGAAAGCAATGTTCATCAAACTGATTGATAGGCGGGTTATTTTAATACACCGTGGGACAATTCTTGTATTTCATGAATGCTAACGAAAACTCTGTCTGCAATAATAACAGTATATTCTGTAGTATATTATGGTTTACGAAGCACTTCCAAACGTGCAACCAGGATGGTGGTGAGAGCGGGCTCTCCCGGGTTTCCCCACATTAGCTATCGACTCCTGTGCTTGGCCTTTCGCAAGCTCGGTTCCTCCGAAAAGGAGGGCAGAGAAGCCCTCATGTCTCAGGATCTTATGGAGAGCAGACGGGACAATGCTGAGCTATAGGGGCTTGCAGGCGGCACTGAGACGGCCCTGGATTCTCACACCAGTCCTGCGGGAGGTCAGTGTTCACATCTCCAACTTGCAGATAAGAAACTGAGACTCAGAATGTTTCAGTGACATAGTCAGGGTTCCAAAATATACACATGCAGAAGAGAATCTGCATTTTCTGTTTCTTCTTTGAATACTTTTTCCAGTGTTTACAGCATTCGCATTAAGTAATGTCTTAGACTCAGTGCCATTTTTTCCAGCACCACTTGGGATTACAAAAGAGCCTGCTTGGAGAAGAAGGGGAAACGGCTCCCAAAACTCTACGTTAGAAGGCAGCCAACGGTGGGGAGAAATGGGATTGGGGCTTAAAGACCTGGCTTCTGGTTCCAGTATGCGCTCAACAGGGTTGTGTCCCACATAAGTTCAACCATCCTTTCTTCCCCTTTTTGTCTGTTTGCTTTTGTCTTTCTTGGTAAAAATGGGTCAACCTGCCTTACTCCCAGAGTTATAATGAGCTTATAAGATTATTCACTCAGAATTCTAATAATATCTATGGAATGTGCATGTCCACATAAAAAGCTTCCAAAGGGTGGTGTCTGACATATATCCTCAGCAACTAGGACTTGTGGGGCTGGACACACACACACACGCACGAATATACTTGTGAGTGAAAGTAAGTATCAGGAAACATTAGTGGTCATCTGTATTAATGTATTAGTGGCCAATCTGTATTAATTATCTATAATACATACTGTGTACATTTTTCATTCTCTGTGTAGACCTCATTTGCTGTTCTTCATTTACGTAACAGTTGTGAGAAACTAAATGTATCTATGCTCCAGAATTATGCGGGATAATATCTATCAAATGCTTCTTCTGTGCCCACCGCGGTTCTGGGTGGTAGAAATACAGTGAGCAAAGATGGACAAGATCTCTCTCCTCAGTGGGCTGCCAGTTGACCGTGCAAGTCAGAGGAGAAAGACAGTAATGCCCAGGGAGATACTGATGGATGACGATGAAGACAAAGTTATGAGAGTCGAGTGCCTGGACTGCCTTCTTCAGATCTGGTGGTCAGGAATAGGCCCTTTCAAAAGCTGATTCCAGAATGCCAAGGAGTTAGCCATGCACGAATCTGGGGGAGACGGTCCCAGGTGGAGGGAACAGCTGATGCTAAGGCCCAAAGGGAAGGGTTGGTTTGTCACATCTGAGGAGCATCAGAAAGGCCAGTGTGGCCAGAGGAGCTGTGAGAGATGAGCTCCTAGAAGCAGGCAGGGCCCCCATCACCCAGGGCCTGGTAGGGGTTGCATTTGGCTGCATGTAAAGACACCAACCACAGGGACTGCATCTACTAGGGGTTTGTTTTCCACACAACAAAACAGTCTGGAGGCGGGGTCCACTGCCCTGCAGAGACACCACAGAACCTCAAAGTCCAGCTTCCTTTCGTCTTCCTGTTGCGCCACCTTTAGCATACGGCTTTCATGCCTTTGGTTGCCTCGTCGTTGCGATACAATTGCTCTGCCTTCCACCTTCTGTCTGAATTCAAGGCGGTGTGAACGATGAAGTCACCAGGAGGAAGGGTGGTCCTCATATCAAGAATGCAGAAACTTCCCCAGAAAGCCCCAGTCAACTTCCACTTACATTTCAATGGCCAGAACTGCTTCTTGGCCACCCCTAGCTGTAAGGGAGGCTGGGAAATATGGGTGTTTTTTTTCAAGCTAAATTCCTTAAACAACCGTATTTTCTTCAGTAGGAACGCTATGGATTAGGCAGGTACTCTAGTTTGGATTCTGCTCTAGATGGGAAGGTATCTATGGGTAGATGGGTGAGTCAGGAGTTCTGCTTCCACATGTAAAACTAGGCAAGGCTGTTAACACTAGAGGGTCTTGATCAGTGTGGTCCCAGAACAGGCCTCGGGCAAAGATACGGATCCTCTCAGGCCTTGGTGCAGCCCAGTGGTGACCGGAGCCTCCAGAGCCCTTGGGTAGCTTAATTCCTTCCTCAGCATGCTCCTTCTTTTACCCCCAGGGTTCCCTAGCAATACCATGGGTCATTGAATTGAAGATGCCATCGCTCTTAACATATGACTTTAGGTACCACTAAGAGGAAACAACGCTGCAAACTAAACTATAACACAATGTTTTCTAACCTAGAATTTTTATTTCATACTTCTTAGAAATGGTGCTTTTAGACTTAAGGCATGAGTTTTTAACCATATAGCACTCTTGAACACACATAAAGAAGAAAATATTCATACAATTAGTTGGGTTAGGTATCCTCAAAGCTTCCTTCTATTTAGAATCAAACCATCAGTGTCTGTGGATTTCCTCACTCTGTTCTATGAATAGTGTTAGTGATGGAGCATCTCCTTAAAGAGTGTTCCACTACTGATGTCATATTTTCTTCTAAGCTGCTGACACCTGTCTCCAAGTTTTGATATGAATGCAAGACAAAGACAACTATATCACGACTGCTGCCTGGCCAACAGCTGTCCCACTGGTAGTGTTACTGAAACGTCGGGGGAAAGTCCCAGATCAACGTAGAGTATGTGCATTTCTCTGTGTGCCCTGATGCAAAGAGCTGGGCAGCGCTGAGTTAGACATCTGGGTAAGGGAGGTCAAGGGCGCAGTGGAATGTGAGTCTGGAGCTTAATGGAGAGGCAGGCATAGAGAAATGGGTTTGCAGATTTGGGGTCCATACGCATCTGGATGACAGTGGGCCTCATGTGACCACTGAAGCCAAGTCTAGACATGGAAGAGGACTGATGTTGAGCCTTGAGAGACTCAAGTGTTCAGAAACCTAGAAGAGGAGCCAACCAACCCAACTGAGAGTTAGCAGCCAAGCCTCCAGCCCAAGCACTGGATGTCAGCGCCACGATGTGGCAACCCTGAAGCTAAGGAGGAAGGGGACGGTCAGCTAGGTCAAGCGCTGCTGACAGGTCAAGGAGGATGAGAGCGGAAGAGTGAACACTGGATTGGGCAGCGTGGAGGTCACAAGTGACCATGATAAAAGGACTTTCCTGGCTGGCGGCAGCCTTTGGGGCGCTGATGGCAACCAGATGGACTGGACTGGGTTGAGGAGACGGGGGGTGGGGGTGGGGGTGTTGAGATGCTCTTCGAGCAGCTGTGCTGTCAAAGGGAGACATACAGCCAAGAGAGCCGATGGTGTTTCCTTTTCTAAAGACACTGGACATGTCTGAACGCTAATTTAGCAAGGCGGGACTGATGGTCCGTAGAGGATACCTGCAGTTACAAAGCGCTTGAGAAGGCGAGAAGGTTGCAATCCGAGGCACAAGGCCAATGGGTCAGCTTTGGACAGAATCAAGACCCAACGCAACATGAAGACGGCAGAGACAGGGGACACAGACGCAACCTTGCAAGACCTCTGTCCAGGTTTCCAGGCTTCACAGCTCTGCCTTTCTCCCCCGGAGTGGGGCGGGGAGGAGGCTCTCCCATTTGCAGCATCTTTTAACAAATCCCTGCTATTCTTGGGCCCCCGGTCGGTCCCACCTGGGGTCTCATTTCCGCACTTCACCGGTCGCTCCGAGCGTGAGCCGGGTGAGGCCATCTGGCAGACGGTCCGGTTCCCCGACGGCACACAGCACCCCTGGGTGCCCCACTGTTGAAGCTGTTTCCCCACCACCGTCTATCTGGAGGGTTAGTGGAGCACCGTGCACGGGGGTGCCACCCTCCTGCTGGGCGCTCTTCAACCTCGGGTGACTGTGCCCGCCGGCACCAACGCCCGCCTCTTCTAACCGTCAACACCCCGCCCCCGCTCCCCTTCTACCTACTCCGCCCTCGGCCGAGGCTTCCAACGTGGCGCCGCCGACTGCGCATGCTCAGTACCCGGGGCGCGCGGGAGCCGGCGGGAGCGGGCGGGAGTCGGCGGGCGGGGCGGGGCGGGGCGGGGCGGGGAGGGTGCAGTGACGCCACCGTGCAGCCGCGGGCTGGCGGGGCCGCGCCACGTAGGCGCGCAGCAGCCGCGCCCCCTCGAGGCGGCCGCGGTCGGTCCGCTCGCGCGCGCGGCCCCGCCGCCCCACGCACGCGCCTCCCTCGCTCCCGGCGCTAAAGCTCGCGCGCACTTCTCTCCAGGCCCGCGAGCGTTCGACTACCGCCGTCCAGGTCCCTCTGAAACCCGGTCGCACCATGTCTTCGCCTCCCGAGGGGAAGCTAGAGACGAAAGCTGGACACCCGCCCGCCGGTACTGACTCGTTCCCACTTTCTCTCCTCTCGCGGGCCCGGAGGGCGGGCTCGAACCCGCGGGCACGGGGCGCGGAGCGGGGCGCCGGGCGGGGGAGGCAGCCGGCCAGCCTGGGACGTGTCCGCTCGTGGGGTCTAAGTTAAACTCAGCCCCGCGTTGGTGAGACGTGTTTCTTTATGCGAAACATCGCAAGCCTGTGCGAGTTGCATGCAAATTAGAGTGACTTGAACAAGCCCAGATGCACAACTTGCTCCTAGAAGTTTGGGCGGTGAATAATTACTTAGAATGTACAGATGTTTTAGAAAAACGAGTAGCCGAAACAACGACAAATCAGTGTTTTTAACGTCATGATGATAAATCGTAGGCTGACAGCATTACAAAAGAACCAAAGGAGCGGAAATCATTTTTATCATTAATCACTCAATATGACTTTTTTCCCCTCCAGTTTCTGTCGCATTCTGCTTTTCCTCAGAAGTGGTTTTGTTTTTTGCTTTTTGCTTTTGCACATCCTAAACTTCCGAGCCAAGGAGGTTAAATGCAGGAAAGAGTCATCTTTCTTAGCAAATGAGTCTCTAACCAACCTTCATGTTCAAACCGTCTCTTCCCCTTTCTGAGCCCAGTTCCTGTTTGCTCTTTCGAATCTGCCCAAACTGGTGGATTGCTTTTTCTCCTCTCCTTTGGAATGACGATCGATCCGTATGGAAGGACACTGGGAGGGAATCAAAGGTGATTGGGTCCCAGGATACGAGTCATTTCAGTGTGTGGGGCTTTAGGGTCTTAGTTGCACACGTTAGTTAAAGTATCAACTCAGTTTGCTAATAACAGAAGCCTTAGCCAAACATGGCTGCTTTTTATGGAACATTTGTGCCATCCTCTTGTTAGAGGAAAGATTCCCCTAATTTCTGTCTGCCGCCCCCCACTATAGGGCACTAATTCTCTGCCTCAACACGGTGAACAGAGAAGTTCTTTACGTATGTTGCATTCCAGAGTAGGGAATGCTTTTCACTAGTGAAGCAAGCTCTGAACAACAAGAAGACTGACTGGCACTAGGAAAGAAAAATGGCTAACCGATGCGTGGGGATGTAAGAGCATGGGATTTTAGAAAATAGTTCCACTGTAATGGAAAATAGACTTTGGGGGTCTCTGTGTTGAATTAGTTTAAAATTAGAAAAGAACTTCAAAGGCATTTCCTTTAATCATAATTCTGACGTTTAATTCCTGCCGCTGCGGGTTCATGTCCATCATTCCTGCCTGATGACCTGGGCAGCACGGCAGGAGGGAACACCTTCATTTACACTCGTGGCCATGGACCACACAACAGCAGTCTGCACAGGGCTCCCCTGTCCCTGGGCGATGAGTGGCATTAGATGTATGTGTTGGAACGATACCAAAGCAAAGTAGCGGTAATGAAATTACATATAGAGAGAGCCACATGGAGAGTTTTAAGATCAGAGGTATAAACCGTCTATATTAACTCCCTGGGAGAAACTTCATGAAGGACTCTGATTTTCTTTGAATTGTAAACAGCTAGGCTGTGTGAGTTACAAGTTAAACATCTTATTTACGCCCAAGAAGAGGGGAGCCAGTGTATTTGTGCTGCTGTAGCAGTGCACTTGGGTTTTAAGTTTTGAGGCCTGTCACTTCTCTAGGGTTCAGTTTTCCTAATCCATGAAATGGGAGGTTCGGGCCAGATGGTCCCTGAGAAAGTAGCAGGGCAGGGCTGCCTTTGTGCTGTTCCTGTCGCCATCCATCAGGATTGGAGCCCAGGGGCAGTTAGTCCCACAGGTAAACTCCTCAAGTGACTTCAGGGCGGGTCCCTTAAGCCTTTGAGACCCCCTTCCAGCAGGAGCTGCTAAGGAAGCTGTCACTGTCATCCTGCATTTCACAAGGCTGGTCACACTTGGCCAGGGGTGCAGGTTAGAAAGAGACCTTTCGTCCCTTGTGGTATATTGCCTGCCAGGTAGTACCGCTCAGGTGCTTTTTCTCCCTGTGGTACAGAGGCCCCTGGTTGGAAGGCTGTTTTGGCAGAAAGTTCTGGGTGGCCTTGTTTACTCCGGTATGATCAGAGGTTAGACAGTTCTGCAGATTAGATGTTAAAAAAAAAAAAAAAAAAGGCAACCACTATAATAAAGGATAATCATCAAGTACAGCCGAGAGCCCAGTTCATAAATCAAAGTAACAGCCTTAAAAACACTGGGAAAACTTTCATTAAGGGCTTAAGCTGGATAACAAGAGCTTGTGCTTAACTCTGCAATTGAAAACAATAAAACTCTCCTCCATGACTCTCTTCTTTTTCTTTTGTGTTTTCCCGTTATTGCTGTCTGAACCGGGGACGCTCCTGTGCATCCCCATAGCCTCCACCTGTCCGCCTGTTCTTGCTTCCAGGGCTACCCATTGATGCGCAATGCCTGGTTCAGAATACTCAATAAATAGCTCCCGAGTTTCTCCGGAGCCTCTTACTGCCTCTCCCTTCCTCCGTAGCATGTGCAGCCCACAACTTCCCTCCGCCGCTGAGCTGTCTCCAGCGGGTACTGGGGGTGCAGGTTGGACTGTCAGCCAGCTTCGGCAGCAGCATCACAGCGGAAACTATAACTAACATTTGCTGAGCGTTACAATGCGTGGGGGTATAGGGGAAGAAGAAGAATTTTCCCTTTACCCTTCTAGGTTCTTAGCTGAGATCCCCCTTAAGATAAAGGACAGATTAACAAGAGAAAAACAGAAGCTTAATAACATGTATATCTCCTGTATACATGGGAGATACTAAAGAAAAATGAGTCACTCCCAACCACCACCTTAAATAGTAAAGATGAAAAATGCCAGGGAGAAGGGGAGGCCCCCGTTATGGGAGGGAACCAGGAAATGCACCAGTGGAAGGAAGACGGTTATGCAGATGTTAAGATTCTCCTATAATTTAGTCATCCTTTTCTTCCTGGTACAGAGAGAGAGACACTTACAAGTGGAGATTTCCCTTATAAATGTAAATGTTCCTAACAAGGGTGACTTCTCGGTATATGGCTTTTCTTTGTGTGCTGTTTCTTTTTTTTTTTTTTTTTTTTTTTCCGGTACGCGGGCCTCTCACTGTTGTGGCCTCTCCCGTTGCGGAGCACAGGCTCCGGACGCGCAGGCTCAGCGGCCATGGCTCACGGGGCCCAGCCGCTCCACGGCACGTGGGATCTTCCCGAACCGGGGCACGAACCCGCGCCCCCCGCATCGGCAGGCGGACTCTCAACCACTGCGCCACCAGGGAAGCCCTGTGCTATTTCTTAATCTGCTCAAAATCATACTTATGCCGAAGAGCCATGTTTTGGGGTGGCATGCTCTGCGCCCCTTCACCAGCCCAATTCTAATTGCTTGGTACTCATGAGCTCATTTAACTAGCAGTCACCTTACAGTTGGGATACGGAGGACAACACCCTCTGCAGTATTGCCGACACCCCCAAGCCTTGAACCGGCAGCCCTTCTCGACAGGGGGCTCCATCACTTGCCAGGGGCCTCCTCCCAAGGTGTGAGATTAATGAGGCTTCTGGAGAGCCTGGGAGAAAGGTGCTAGGCGAATAAATACAAAGTCCACCCACTGAGTGGTGGCTGGCACTGCATTGTGTCCTGCAGTGCGCTGGGGGCCGGGTCCTCTGGAAAAGTAACCAAGTCTTCACGATTTGAGACCTTGCCACCGCCCTCGGCCACAGATACCTGCGGAGACACGGGTGAGACTGCTTGTTTTGTGGGAGTTCTTGCAAATGCAGATTAGCAAAGTGAGTGAGGTTCTGTTTCATCGAGGGGCAGCGCTCTGATTGCCGGCAGAAGGGGGGACGTGATGCCAGGCCCCACTATTACTCCAGCCGGTTTCCATGAGTTTGTGGTGGAGACGAGGATAACGTCTCTTTGTTAAATACGTTTTGCTGGCCCTGTTCCCCCCCATTTCCAAGGGGAGCCAAAACCGTATGTCAGGAAAGTTCTCATAAATCTAATACAGGATAGCTTGGAGCGTTACTAATTTTACGTATGGTTTTCTTTGAAGAGTAGAATTTATGTCCCTTCTAGAACTGAGTCAAATGGATTTATTAAAGTAAAATGGGAAAAGAGACCACTTTGCTTTTCTTTAGTAACTTCAAAATAATTCAGTTCTCTGTTCTCTTAATCAGTCAGGATGCATTTAAAGGGTTGTGGGTGATACTTCTCCTTGAATTATCTCCGTCGGGGGTTTTCATATTATCGCGGCCACTCTGTTGCTAGAAAGGCAAGACTGATTTGGTTTTTAGTGTATTAACTGTGCAATCAGCAGGTGTGCTAAGCACACCTATGTCACCCAGTCACTGATCAACGCTTGAAGATACAGGAGAGAGGTCTGCCTTTGCTCCTGACATGTCAAAAAAAAAGGAGAGACCCTTTTAGTCACTGCATTTTTCTTTGATAATAATATTTTAATTATAATCTGAGCCTTTTTAAAAAAAATTTATTTTGTTGAAAGTCACTGCCTTTTTTAAAAAAGCTTCCTGTCAGGGTGGACCGAGCACCTCTAAGACGTGTTTTCAGTTTCCCCTCTGTGCTCTAGGACTTTGGGGGACAGACGCGTCCTCCTCTTTCTGTTTATTCCAGACGATGCCTGTGCACTCTTGCTTGGTTTTGCGAGTAGTTTCCCCTTCCCAGCTTCAGAGATTCTTTTGTTTGGATAGGGACTATTCACTGTTGTATAAAGTACTGTGGTAGTTACAGTTTTATGTTGTACTCACTAATTGTAGCAAATGGCCCCAAATCTCAGTGGCTGAGCAGGTCAAGGTGTATCTCTCTCCCGGTGGCAGAGGCCCAGGTCCCTCCTGCCCAGCGACTCCGCCTCTGGAGGGGACTGAGTGCGGGCCGTGGTGCCGGGGCCTGTGGTGCTTCGGCCTGGGAGCGGCACGTGTCACTGCGTTAGTTTCCTGTGGCCACTGTAGCAAAGCGCCATACATTTAATGGCTTAAAACAGCACAGCTGTATTATCTTCCAGTTCTGGAGGTGAGACG